GTGCTTGTTGCGAAGAATAACTAGTGAGATTGATACCCAATCAAAATTTCAACTTGCAAAACTTTCGTGCATTCATCACCGTTTTCGTACCGGGTGATGAAACGACTGACTCCACCAATCAGCAAGTTTCTGCGCTCCTCACACCACTCCTATCGCATTCCATGTGCCTGATGTTCATGGAATGCCCTTATATGGTTGTGTTGCAACTTCTCAATAATCTGTTACGGAAACTGTACCGTAAGCGAATCTAACTTCTGTGATGTCAGCGATTTGAAGTTCTGTCCATCAGTAAAATTTTGAAATTACTTAGAAGAAAACGACCACCATAAACGGAAATCCGTTTCATTTCCGTATCACCATCAAACTTGAGCTGATGAAACAAAAAATCTATTTGCAGAAATATGAAAAATTTATGTTTTTGATGAACTAGCTTCTTGAATTCTTGATGCCATCAAGGCCTTAACAGTCACACTGGTCGCCTCACTGATCATGTTTTTATCTGCCTTATTTTTCAGTGAACAATTGTTTCTCGACTGTAGTGTTTCTTACGCGCTTCACATATTCCTGTGAACGCATTTGTGTATGGAATATAATGATCGCTTCGATTACATACTTTCTTTCGTGCACACATTTATGCATATGAATGCTGCTGATCTTTTCGCACATTTGTTACACGCTCAATGTTTCGATGTTTGTTTTATTCAGTCTTGATAATTCTCTGCTCTTCATTTCATGCAACGAAAATTACCAACAAATTCGTTTTGCAATGCAAACGTTCGATTCCTCTTTTCTTCAAATCAGCTCACACAAAACTGACAATGAGTAACCATAATGACAGCTTGACAATTGCTCAAGCCAGAATGCATCATCAGTAATAACAGAATTGTACTGTTGAATGCGAGAAAACAACAAGAAACTCATCCTAAACACTTTGGCTTTCTGGTCTTATCAGCTAGACTGGCCAAGTCCATTTTGAAGAACATTTCATTCAAACTCTCGCCCCGAGATTCCAACGAATTTGATCAGACAACGGCAACATCTGTGATCAGTTATAGTTGCTTGTGATCAAATGTCGTTTGTGAAAATTTGTCGTCTGTAGCCAGCAGCAGTCTTAACATGTGGTCAGTTCTCGTTCATTAGTGAACGCCATAATTCAATAGGTCCTTACCTCTATTGTGAGGATCTGTTTTGTAGTACCGAGGTGAAGTTGTCATCATAGAAAAATTCGTTTACAATTAAATTTCTTTAGCTGCAGTTAAGTGTCATCATAATCAAAGTGTTCATGCATCGCTTTGAATGCTCCCAGGTTATAAACTCTGAATCGCACCGTATGCAAGCGATCAAAAGCTTTAGCTTATGAAGAATCATGTACCGTAAGTCTTACTCAAGTCCAAACCTCAATCTCCAACTAAGCCTAAGTCTAAGAGTGAATTTGGCTCATTCGCAATCAAATTATTGCGTTCAGATCTGGAATGATGTGATGAATGCACAATCAAAAGNCAATCAAAAGACATATCATATCCACAAAAGTTTTCGAATCGCATTTTTTAATTGTTCGAGGATTTACAGTGAAAATTGACAATGACTATATTACAGTTTTATTTTAATTCAAAAGCAATCAAACATTCAAAATGGAGAACCAAAGCCCAAGATCGGTTAACAGGATGATCAAAGTACTCCGTGAATGGGGTACTCTTGTGGTGAGATTTTTCATTTATTGATCATTATTTGTGTATAATAATTGTCATCATTGTTAGCATCTGTTACAACCGAATGCGATTTTCTACTTCATTTTTTACATATTTTCTATGATTTTTTACATCATTCTATGTTTCACTCACCAATTAATCGGGTCTGTGATCATAATGATAACCAAAAAATTGATAACAATCATAACATTATCTTGATTGTTGTCATTCGCCTTGTGGCGATAATAACATAAGCCTTAATAATAGCAGCTGCAGTGCTAATCTCGATGACAGTGACAATTGTAATACATGATATCAATCATTTCAAAACCAATAATCGCTCTGTCCAATTCGAAAAATAATCGCTGACATGAATCACTAAAGGATTGAACAAAATGCCTATCTTTCCTAGCAGACAATTTTTCCCTTCAAACTTTTTCGGTTTCAATTGACAGTGGATTTATGCCCAGAAAGATCACACAGATGCATTTTATCCTTCTTCTATTCAGACAATAACAAATAATTAGATACAAGCCAAATCATAGCCTAGCTCAGGCTCGCAACATCAACGGTATTGATACACCACTCGGTTTCGAGTGAAATTCTCCTATGCGAACGGTGATCGCTTATAGATCAGTTCGCTACGATTGTAGCGTTTGACGCTCATCAGATCAGTTTCGCATTATGTGCACTGAAGACCTCAGCGATCTTACCGAAACCACTCGACGGACGTTGAACGGTCTCTGCGATAGCTTCTTCCGTTCGTGAAATCTGCTGTCTCCTTTGAAAATACCATAGAATCAACATCAGATTCATCCATCCACTTGCATTCACATGCGGTGTAGATGAAGAGATAATATCTATGACATTGTTACCTCATTTGGTTTCAAACAAAATCTTCGCCTGCTAACAGAAATTGAACCCGCAACGGGCCAATTACCGATTAATACTCTCTACCTGTGAGCCATCACGTTGATGTTACCAAGCCTGAGCCAGGCTATGATCTGCTTTGTATCTAATCATCTATTCACGAAATGATTGTAGTTATTATCAAGATACAAATCAAATAATTTCAGACTCCACAATACGTCACATCGCAATGCGGTGCACAAAAACTACTCATCGATGGCTACAGCTTTATATGTCATCGTGTGAATGGTCCTCGAACTTACTGGAGATGTGACTGGTGTCAAAAGAGCAAGTGCAAGGCAACTGTGGCCACTGAAGGCGGCGAGGTGGCTTCTTCATTGATTCAAATACACTTTCACATCTAATGAAATCGAAACGTTGAGGTGTCACAGGCGATTTCTGTGTTCTGGTTTTCATGGCATCACATCAATTCTGCAATGGTTTCAATGATGAAACACTTTACCTCTTCATTTGCTAACGTAGCTCTAAATGTGAATGTGCAATGTTTTCCTCAATCCTCACTAGAGCGATAATCAAAAACGAAATGATTTCGTCAACATTCATCGTTAGGTAATACTCATGTAAATCAACCAAAGCATACACCTTATGCGAGCTGCTATGAATATTGCGTGCGATGATCATCGCACTTCATTCAACACTCCGCAAATTGTGAATCGGTAGGAAACTCGTAAAACCTGAATTCAAGTGAAACTTGAAGACATGACAACCAAGTCAGTAATATGAAATTTCGTGCCGTTTTCGTAATGAAACACTTCACCTGTCCAGCTGCTAACGAGCTCTTACTGTAGAGCGTGCAATGTTTTGCTCAATCCTCATTAGAGNGATAATCAAAAACTAAAGAATTTCTTCAACATTCATCGTTAGGTAGTACTCATGCAAATCAACCAAAACATGCATCTTATGAGAGGTACTATCAGTATTGCATGCGATGATCATCGCACTTCATTCAACACACCGCAAATTATGGATCGGTAGGAAATTCGTAAAACCTGAATTCAAGGGAAATTTGAAGACATGAAAACCAAATCAATGATATGAAATTTTGTGTTCATAGAAGTGATTGTTTGTAGACGTATTTGAAAGATGTGCCGCATAATCATCCACGAAGTAAGAACGTGCCACCGAATCGCCGAATCAGTGCACTGTTGAAAGAGGCGGTGATGAATTCGGATGAGCCAATTTCGGATATTGTCAGACGCGTTTTGCACGAACATCGATTCGATCCGGACACCCATCTGCCGACCACAATCGATACTATGTGCCGTTCAATGCAACGCTTTCGTGCAAAAATTCGTAGCCAAAAACGTAAACAGTCTGTTGCTAATACACCTGGAAGCACACAACATCCTCAACAAGCCCAGCCGCAACCTCAACCCCAGCAAGCACCACCACCAC